CTCTCTCTCTCTCTCTCTCTCTCTCTCTCTCTCTCTCTCTCTCTCTCTCTCAACACACTTGTTGATTTGTCAAGCGTAACCCCGGTCGAGGTCAGGCTGAGAACGTCACACACCAGCCAGTGACCCGAGAGACGGAGATAAAAAGTCGCTTGGAAGGTCCGACCGGGGGGCTTCTGTGTCAACATTCTTAGTCAGTAAACTTAGCAGGGGTTTTACAAGAGGGTTCCCCAATGTAACCGTAGGATGCAAAATGCAACATACATGCAGTATGCATACAACATGCAACATGCAGTTTACATACAACAAGCAACATACAACATACAGTATATATATATACAACATTCAACCTACAGAATACATACAAAATACAACATACAGTATGCATACAACATGCAACATGCAACATGCAACATTCAGTATACTTACAACATGCAACATTCAGTATACATACAACATGCAACATGTATCATACAACATACAACATACCATATACATAAAACATACAACATGCAACATACAACATACAGTATACACACAACATACAACATACAGTATACATACAACATGCAACATACAGTATACACACAACATACAACATGCAACAAGCAACATGGAACATGCAGTATACATGCAACATGCAACATTCAGTATACATACAACATGCAACATGCAACATGCAGTATACATACAACATGCATCATTCAGTATACATACAACATACACCATACACCATGCAACATACAGTATACATACAACATACAACATGCAACATACAACATGCAACATGGAACATACAGTATACATGCAACATGCATCATTCAGTATACATACAACATGCAACATACAGTATACATACAACATGCAACATACAGTATACATACAACATGCAACATACAGTATACATACAACATACACCATACAACATGCAACATACAGTATACATACAACATACAACATGCAACATACAACATGCAACATGGAACATACAGTATACATGCAACATGTATCATTCAGTATACATACAAAATGCAACATACAGTATACATACAACATACAACATACAACATGCAACATACAACATGCAACATACAACATGCAACATACAACATGCAACATACAGTATACATACAACATACAACATGCAGCATACAGTATACATACAACATGCCACATACAGTAGACATACAAAATGTCACATACAGTGTACATACAACATGCAGCATGCAACATACAGTATACATACAACATGCCACATACAGTATACATACAACATGCAACATACAGTGTACATACAACATGCAACATACAGTATACAAACAACATGTAACATGCAACTTGCAACATACAAAATGCAACATTCAGGATACATACAACATGCAACATAGAACATGCAACATGCAGTATACATACAACATACAACATACAGTACATACAGTTAGGTGAAATGTGACATAGGAAGGCCAGATGTGACATGCAATTTTGAAATATGAATCTAGAAAATTCAAAATTGCACGTAGAGAGAACAAACGTGAAATTTGCCATGTCAAATGTGAATGAATGCAATGTAGCAAGGCCGTAAAGGTTTCGAAACAACTATTTTTCCTGTCATATCCATTGTTCCATTCTTCACGCATCCCCATAAAAAGCAGCTTGAATCTTTGAAGCCGTAGCCACACCGTTCCTTGGTCGGCGATTTGGATAAGGGTTGTCATTCTTTCTTCGTATGGTAGTGCACATTCAGGAGCTGGTGGTAAATCGCTACCTGAGAATTAAAAAGTTCTATCTACATTTTTGGCCGTTTTGAGTTACTGACACTTTGAGGTCTTAAACCAAATTGTTCTGTCTACTCTTTCAAAACCGTAATATAGTTTTTCCAGTTCAAATATACACATAACAAATTCAAATGACGCCTAGAAATACCAAATTACACCTAACAAATTCAAATATACAAATGACGTCATAAAACGTCATAATACAACACACAGAAATCTCAAATGTAACACATAGCAAATTCAAATGCCGCTGAGCAATTTCAAATGTAAATATGGTTCAAATGGAGAAAACAAAGACTTAAAGTATAAGAAGTGTAACAAGGTAAGAAATAAATGGGTTTGGGGTTTTTTTTGCCACCCAAAAGTAAGATGTAAGCCGTGTGGTGCCACAAGGAAGAAATCACGTGAAACGAAACTAATTGTTAATTTTTTTAAACTCGAAAATAAATCCACATGTTTAAACAGAAACGAAAGGTTACGACAAAAATCAACAAACTGCTGGTGTATATATAACTAACTGGATGAAATGTAAAGCCAGGTTGACTTTTTAAAACTTATTGTTGCTCTACAAAACGCTGTGGCATATAGGCTTGCACTGATCTGAAGACTGCTGCCATTTTCACAATAGTCACAGCTTGGGTTTTTTGTTCCATCCACTGGGCAAGTGTTACCACCCTTTGTTGGTGAGTCTGTTGTCTCTTTCTTCAGCGAACATCTGTTTCAAATCGTATTTCCAAAAAATATTGTTTCAATGGTGAAAGGGTGCCGCTGTTAGGTTATTTAGGAGGCAGGACATCCGAGATCAACGTCTATCTCCGAGAGGACCGATCCAAACGATAAATTCGTGTAAAGCGCCTTTCCCATGGACACAACGCCGAAACGAACTGAGGCTCGAACCCCCGAACCCGAATCTCACGATTACAGGTCCGATAGCCCAACCACTATGTTGCTACCCACGCCGCTAAATCGTATTTTCAAAATAAGAAACGTTTTCACAAATGGTAAGACAAGGTATACAGGTGGCAATATATTTCACCTCGCGTCTATTTGATGAAATGAAACTGTTACTTGAAGCAAAAAATAGACAATAAATTTTTTAAATGAAAATTAACAAGTGTAAACCAAACAAAATTATTTTAAAATGGGTATGGTAACACAAGCGTTATCGTAGATGTTAAGAAAATGTTTGTAGGGGATGGGGGGGGGGGGGGGGGGGGGGCGATATTTCACCACCATTCTATTGATGAGTTGATATTTAAAGCTTGCCTTAATTCACGAGCGTTGTTACATGCCAAGCATACTTCGTTGTGGGGATTGTTGGAACAGTTTCTTAGAGGGATGGGTAGAAATGATAGCTATCATTCCCTCTACTTGAAAGTCATGAAAGACAAGGCCACCCTCGGCACTGACAGCAATGTCATCGTGCGGTTCGGTCCCCTTCGACCCTGCACTACTGGAACAAAGCATTGACCACTCCGTGCTCTTCCTCGGTTTTTCTTCGTAAACAGCTTGATACCAGCCTCATCGAGGAAGGCAAATTCATACTGCTAAATTATGATCTACATCAGCCATGGTATGGTGCATATTGATGTCTAGTTGTATTCAATTCACCCTAAAAGGATACTGCTTATGGTTGTCGTCAACTCAGTTTGAGCACATTAAAAATGCTTCTCACGTTAAATAATCTTTGTGGAGGATATTTGCTTTTGCTATGAGGCATTTGAACTTGCTATTGTATTACATTTGGATTTGCTATTTAAATTTGTACATTTTTTACCTTGTTGCGCTCAATCGTGCACTAAAATTTCCTATCGAATATTTGAACTTTCTATGTGGCGTGAAACTTTCTATGCGGCATTGAACTTGCTATGTGGAATTTGTATTTCTTATAATGATTACATTGGATCTGAAAAACTATATTATTTGGGGTCATTTTGAAAGTATTCAAAGAATTGCTTTAGCAAAAGCTTGACATGTTGTGAAACGTAACATTTTTGAGTCAAAATTCTCAAAACTAGGTACCGAGCAGATGAAAATGAGTAATTC